CGGGCCCGGCTCGGGTGGGCGCGGCGGGCGCTGCGTGAGGCCGCGCCGGGCCGCGCCTCGGGGCCGCCGTGCTGGAGCTGCGGCACCGCGCTCGCCGGCACCGATGGGCCGCCGCGCTTCTGCCCCGCCTGCCAGGCCCTGCAGCCGCCGCCGCCGCGGCCCGACCTCTTCCGCCTGCTGGACTGGTGAGTGCGGGCGGGGCGGCCGCGGGCCCGGCCGGCCGCGGGGCTCACCCGCCTTGTGTCCCGCAGTGACCGCTCCTTCCGCATCGACGCGCGGCAGCTGCAGCGGCGGTTCCGGAGCCTGCAGCGCGCCGTCCACCCCGACCGCTTCGGCCAGAGGCCGCCGGTGAGCGCCGGGCCGGGCGGGGGTCCCGGGCGGGGGTCCGGGCCGGGCGGGGCCCGCGGGGCTCGGTGATCGCCGGGGGAACCCGCCCTTCGCCTTCGGTCCCAGCGCCGAGCCCCTGCCTCTCTCCCGCTCGGGGAGTGCGGGGACTCGCCTGTGTTTGTCTCCCGGTGCTTAGAAGAGACTCTGTCGTGGATTTGCGGTGGAGGAGGATGATGAGGGGCCGCTGCGGCTCGTCAGGTCTTAGCTGAGTGCAGCGACAGTGTTCCCAGGTCCACAGAGCCCTCTCAGTGTCACACACGGACTGGTGTAGGGACGCTGGTTTTCCGCATGTAACAAAGTGTATTCTGCCACTTGTTATTAACTTCAAATTATTTGTCATCCACTTGCAGAAAGAGCAGTACTACTCTGAGCAACACTCTTCCCTGATCAACAAGGCCTACCAGACCCTGCTGAACCCTCTGAGCCGGGGCCTCTATCTAGTAAGGTCTCCGTTAGGTGTTCTCAGTGTCCCTATAACTAACCAGAGGGGCTGGGGGTGCTGTGAGGGACCAGACCTTCCACTCCATCCTTAACGTGCTGATTGACATTCCTCTGAAGGAAAGTATGACCAGGGACTGAAGGGAGACCAAAAACAAGTTTGTCCAAAAATTAATCAGCTTATCATCACATTTGCTGCTCACATTACACTAATTTTTTTCCCACATCACATGTTGTGTTTGGCCATGGCTGCTCATATGGAATTTCAGTCTGGCAGCCTTTGTCATATTTTCTGACTTGCTGATTTTTATGGTCAGCCTGTGTATGGAGTTAATTTTCAGACTGATTCTGTTTATGCACCTTTCGTGGAATACACTATAGGTTTATCGGATACGAATCTGTGTGCGCCCCTCTAAAAAACTTTATAATTCCCATTGAATTAGATGTAATAGTGCTTATTTTCAAATTCCCATTTCCTCTGCCAGCTGGAGCTGAGTGGAGTGGAGCCAGCACAAGAGACAGACTGTGATGCAGACTCGGCATTCCTCATGGAAATCATGGAAATTAATGAGAAATTAGCAGAGTCCAAAAATGATGATATCATTGAAGAAATTGAAACTTTAATTAAAGGTAGGTTATTATTTGAGGGATTTGTACAAAACTTATTTATATCTTCTGTAACACAAGAGTCTTTTTGAAAGCTCCTGTCTGTTTTGGTGTGTTTCTTGTAGTGTCTCCAACCTGTGTTACTCTACAATTGATTCACTGTAGGTGCTTCTGCCCTGGTCCCCTTCCCCAATATTGTCTTTACCTATTTATGCACCTAAACATCACATCTGGCTTGAGAACATCTGTATAACAGAACCTATTCTGATGGCTAAATAAGTATATATAGACTATAAAAAGGAATTTACTCATCTTTGGCAGATCAGGGCAAGTCAACTGTTCCAAAGAAAGAATCTCTCAAAATGAAGTTGAATAAAATGCTTGTCTGACAATATTAAATAATGTAATTTACACAGACATTGTATTTCTTTCACCTTCTTCAACTTACCAACCATTATATAAAGTGGTTATTGTCCTTACACAAGCAACTTTCTTTTTATATTGTCAGTGATACCAGAATATTTGCTTTACTGATATATTTAATCCTTTACAATAACAAAGTGTAGTGTGCCAAAAGCAATTAGAATAATTAGAATAAAAACTGAGTAGAGCAGGAGAAAATTAACTGTAGCAGGGTAAACTGATAGACCAAAAATAAGTTAGATTGCTGGGAAGTTAGTGACCATTGATGTGCATTGGAATTCTTGTAAAGTAGTCTGTAAACCTGTTTAATTTGAAATTATAATCAAAACATTGACAGCAGTATTATAAAAAACTCTCTTAGCTCCCAAAGACTGAGACTAGTAATGAAGTTTCCCACTGCAGGCAGTTGGAATGCAGTGGTATAAAATATACTAAGTATGTAACAAAAAGTGAATTAAATAATTTGTTTTGCAGTTAAACAAGAAGAACTGACCAGAGAGCTGACTGCAGCTTTCGAAAGAGGTACCTGTTTTTATGAAGTATTTAGCTGCCATCAAATGCTTAAAACCCCACATTCTCTCACTGGCAAATATTTCCTGAACTATAGAACAGAAATACTACATCAACAAGGGTTCTTTGTGTGGTATTTAGAATAAGAACTTCTAAACTGATCTTTCTGCTGATTCAGGAATTCAGGACCTCACATTAAAAACAAAATCCAGTACAAAAGTTCCATTTAATTAATTTTGCATCAAAATAATCACTTTGAGTGGGAATGCAGATGGTAAGAAATTGTGTGTTACCCAGAATACTGTGAAGAACACGCTCTTAATCAAACTTAGACCTGTTCTGAGATTTTACACTGGAATTTGGGTGATGTTGTTCTGCAGCCTTGGAGCTGCAGCAGAGCAGTGGGTGCTGTTCTGTGCAGTGACAAGGCGGGAAGGAAAGAAAGTCCTGATGCCTGTTCAGCCTAAGGTTTTGGGGGTTTCCTGTGCAAAACCCAACATAACTTTATTCCACAACCAATGAACTGTTCTAAATCTGGGAAGAAGAAAACTTTGTATTTCTTTGCCAGGTCTCAGAACGCTGCAGCTGTGAGGGGTGGGGTGTTGTAACTGTAAATATCAAACACAAAGTGGTGCTGGCTGGGCCTGCCTGTGAGGAGTTACAGCTTGTTATAATCTGTTAGTCTGTGCTATGAGGACTGTGTTGCATCTGTCCTTGTCAGTAGGTAATAAACTATCTTTCCCCTCCAATTGTTTAATTGAGGAGAAATTGTTTCAATATCGGGTTTGGAATTGGCACTGTCCAGACTCTTTTGCATTTTTCAGTTATGTCAGTTGGCCTAAATTGCACACATTTAAAATAAAAATGTTTGTCTTGCCCAGTGCTGCCAGTACTGCAGCCACTTTACAGAAGTCATTAAAGGGTATTCATTCACATTTCTTTTCCAAATTTACTGTCATTGAAATCTTGAGAGTCGTTTTGAAAATGCAAATCCAGCTCTCCCTCTGTAAAATGTTTATTTCATTTCAGATGATCTTCAAGAAGCTAAGAAGCTTCTAGGAAAAATGAAATATTTTGCAAACTTAGAGGATAAACTAAAGACCAAGAAGATCCCTTCCTGATGCTGCCTCCTTTGGGATTAATAGTTAATGTTATTTTCAATTAAACAGTTATCAAAATCAGACAAATGGTGTTTCCTGTGTTTCCATTAAAAGCTTTAATTCAGAGAGGAGGAAAATAAATGTAAAATGCAATGCTTGCTGCAGCACTTCAGTAACAGATGGCATTTGAAAATGCTTACAATCAGGAAAAGTTTTACTGGGTAAGGCAGGCCACTGTCCTGGCAGCTACAGGTATGGAAACAAGAGTCAGAAAGGCACACAAACATCGTATATAAGTGAGACTTTTACTTACTGAAATATGGAGAATGTATTTTAAGTTGAGAAAGAGTCCTGGACAAAATTCTAGAGATAAGCAGAAAGCTCATTCAGTATGTCCTGCAGGCTCTCTGTAGTCTCCTTGTGTGTGTTCTCTCACACCATCTTGAAAATTCTTATAAGGTGACAAGTATTTAGTTCCTGTCATCTGTGCTTTCCACTACTGAATGCTTTTGGTATGTTGATCTGTCTGACAAGAACTGACCTTTAAAACTAGAAGAGGTTTTACCCTGTTGCATAGTTTAAAATGTTAAGATGCTAGGTTAGGGGAAAAAATAAACCCAAATTCAAACCCCAGAAACTGTTTTATTAGGATACAAGTCTTTATTACAAATAGCAGTAATTCAGAGAGGTGCTATACCGTTGTTGTACAGTTACAGTAGTAGGACAGGGTAAAGAAAGAGTGAAAAATGGCAACTAAATACCCCTATTTCTACATAAACTGGGATATTTCAAATACCAGTTTTCAGCAGGTCAGTTCTTGTTTGGGTTTTAACAAGAACTCAGCGTTTTACTCAGTGAAGCATTTGGATGTGCCTGATGACCTGAAATGAAGATGGGGCTTTGAAATGCAAGAAGAGCCACTGAATTATCCGCAGACTGAACATCCTCCCTGGCATTTCTGCAGGTTACATCAGATTACAGTCTTCTATGGATAATATATAATATGTTGTTAATAGTATTTCAGCAATACATGTTTTAACAGCATTTCAGCAATATTAACTTGC